GTCGGTACCAGCCAGTCCAGTCCAGTCCCGTCAGTCCGCTGGGGTATACCCCAGCCATTGTCTGTTTTCAGCCTCATTCTTCACTTGCACATTTTGGAGTACGTGCGTTGGAGTCATGCGTGGGAGCTGCGTTGTGCGTCATCTTGCTCCCCCGTTTTCCTCCATCTCCATCTCTACCACTAGCGGAGCACCACACCTGGTGGGTCCGCTACACAGGCGCCGGAGCAGGCAGCGGTGAGGCAGCGGGCGACAGACGGTCGTCTGGGCGACAGCGCACCTGCGCAGGCAGGGAGGCCGGGCGCAACAACGGAGGGGAGGAAAAGGAAGGACGAACCTAGGCGCAGTAACGCGCCGGGTGCATTCGGGACGGAGTGGAGTTGGAGGACGAGCATGGAGGGAGCAAGAAGGGACAGCGCACTCGATTCTCTGTGGAATCAAGTGAGGAAAGTTAGAAGGTTGGGGTTTTAGGACCGGGCGATCGTAGTTGTAGTGTTAGTTTTAGCTAAGGATTAGTAGAACGGGAGGTCAACAAGAAACGGGGTGCGCCGGGCTATGGCGGGGAAGTAAGGAAGAAAGGGGATGGAGAAGGTTTTCCTCGCCTGTTTCCGGAGGAAGTTGTGCGGGGAAACATACTACACCGAGGTTTTTGGGCCGGGTGAGTAGGATTGTGAAATTAGTTTTAGATGAGAGTTAGYAGAAATAGAGGTAAGAAAAAGGGGAGTGAACCTGGGCGACGAATCGCGCCAGGTGCATGCACAAAGAAGGTTGGAGATGGCGGGAGCAGAAAGCATATAACCCGCCCGTTCCTTGATGGAAACGGGCGGGGAAAAGTGCTAATCTGAGTATATTCGGCRGGGCGAATCACATAAAGAGGTTAGTTTTAGATGAYAGTTAGTAAAATARAAAAGACAAAGAGAAGGGGCTGCGYYGAGYTATGGAGGAAGKGGGGGATGCCGAGAGGAGAGAATCGTGATGTCGCCYGATCTGCGAGGGGATCGGGCGAGGGAAGGGGCTAATCCGAGGTTTTAGCCCTGGGCGAACGCGCTGGCCATGTCAGATTGGGCAGTAGGGGAGTAAGTTAGGAGTGAGGGGGAAAGTGAGGAGTGAATCTGGCGGGGTTTCTGCAACAAATTCGTTCAGGAAAGAAGGTGGTAGAAGGCCGAGCCGGGGTGCAGCAGGGAGGTAAGGACAAGGAGTGAGGAATTGAGGTTTCACTCGATTCTGGATAGAATCGAGTGGAAAGAGATGACAGGGTAGCATTTTTGGGTCGAGCGAGGTTAGTGGTAGTGTCGGTTTCAGTTCTACATTAATGAAAAGAAAGTTATATAGAGAAAGGATATAGCTGAAGGACGGGCTATGGAAAGATCGAGTTTTCACTCGATTCCTGCTGAAATCGGGGGAGGGAATTCGAGTTCTGGAGGTTTTGGTGGCGGGTGAATCTGATGAATAAGTCRAGTTCGGAGGTTAGTGAGTAGATCAGTGGGCTTAGGCATTGAGAGCTGTGCCAGAGGGGGAAAGAGGTCACGTACCTGAATAGAAGAAGAAGCGGGACCGGGAGGCTGCTGCCTACCGAACCAGGCATGTTGAGGTGGGGGCCGTTCATTTCGGGGTGTTTCCGTTGCCTGTCGGGTGACGAGAGTCCACGGAGGGACTCGCTGGCTCAGTGGGTGGTGGGAGCGAACAGCCTGCGGGGTTCAATTGTGATGATATGAGCCGGCCATGTGCTACTTTGCTCCGTGTAGGATGCGCRGAAGTCCTCGACTGAGCCCTGTCGTCGCCTGTTGTCTGTGTCCCACTTGCCTGTTGCATCAAGTGACGCCGCTGCAGGCAGACCGCAAGGAAGAGGCTTAGTCATTGGCCGGAGCATTGCTCATCCCACCAAGCGAAGTGGCGGGGAACGAGCAGCGAGGTTGCAAACTTGTATGATGGTTGTGGGCTGCTCGTCCTGTTAGAATAAAGGAGTAAGCCGCAGGGTGCTGGAACTTACCTGCTGATGCCGCAAAACCCATTCTGCAGCGCGAAGTGCTGGGTAGCCAGTTGGGAGACTGTGGCCAGTTGAGAAGCGCGGGACTACCACCATTTGCCGCATCATCGTGCTAAGTTTATGTAACGCGCTGCTGCAGGCTGTTACTGTTGCAGTTGTTGGTGTGGTATCGCAGTTGGCCATGGTTAACGTCGTGCATCATTTGTCAGGCTGTGAGGATGCCTATGGGTAATACCATGACCTTGATATCCTGATTACTACCGCCATTCGGGTTGCTACCGCGGGCTCAGCACCGGTGTTCAGGCTCACGGAATTGTTCTCACTCCCAGCAAGGGCCGCAACTGAGGGTTTGAGGTTACTAAACCACGAGCTATTGTGGGTCTATGGAGGCGGCTGCTGTGTTTTAAGACTGCTGCTGAAGCTCTGCTGTGGAATTGGGAATGTTGCTGTTGGTTGGGCTACTTCTGATGTTGCAGCAACGATCGAACTGCGAGGGTCTGCGTTGCGGCTTGAGTTCTACTAAAGTCGCTGTGTTCCCAATTTGCAGCGGCCGGCTAAAGCCGTTGTCGGTGCAAATACCCTTACAAGGGTATCCGCCCCGGTTTTTTGCAAGCGACAGAAAATAGTTTGGTTTAAAGTCTAAGTATACCACGCTAGGCGCGGCGGCGTCTGTGATTCATGTTGACAGGATGGTCGACTAGAGTAAAGAGTGCGTGGGCGCGCAGGTTTAAGGCGCGCGTGATTCATCCCCTTAGATTGATTACGAAACCGGCGTGGGCGCCGGTCTGTTTATTTTTTATCTTTATCTTTAAGTTTTACTTTTGGTTACTCTTGATTAACCTAGGATCTAGGGGATATTTTGTTTCAATGGCCACGTCTGACCGGGTCGAGCGCGCATGCGGAGATCTACCCCGACGACGACATCGGCAGCGACGGCGACGATGTGACTGTGATAGGTCGGCGCGGACTCTCGGTGGCCGTGCACGTAGGCGTGGGCTCAGGAATGGCACGGGGCGCTTTTGCGGCCCTGAACGACCGCGCCGTATCATCCTATATAGAGTCTCGGGTGTAGCTATCGTAGGCTTGGGCTTAGCCCTACAGGTTACGACATTGGACTATTACTACGGAGGTTCGGGGATCGAGGCCAGCGGACGCCGGCGCGGCAGCGGCGGGAGCATCGAGGAGGAAGTCGATGGGGTTGAGGGCCCGATGGGGCTATCCCCCTTTGGTTTTTGTTAGCCGGCGTGGCAAAGAACCCGGTCCACGGGGCCGATAGGGTACCAGCAGTTCCCGCCCTCTGTCTAGGAGTTTTTTTTTATGTGTATATGTCATTTTATTTTACTTCTATTTTTCTCACTATTAGGCGAGGCCCATTGGACCTGGGGCGCGGTACCGCGATTGACTGCCCAAAGCCTGAGGAGCCACGGGTGGGGTGCCACCGCGGCCAGGCCGTCGGGACACCCGTAAAAGATTGAGACGATACGGGGGGGGGGCCGTGTGGCC